GTTAAAGTATATTAATCCCCGTAAATACTTTGGTCCTATTTATTAATTTACGTTTTGTTTATTCGATTTGTAAATCCTTCCCTTACTATGTCGATTGTTATTGTTACTATTATTATTACTATTCTCATTTTTAACTGTTTCCGGGATTATTTCACTTGTCATTAATTCTTTTGTTATATGAAATATTATCAAATTTCACACCATGGTATGTAACGCTTTTATTTCTTTTTGCACACTGGTCCTAGAATCGTACACCCTCTTCCAACCTCTATACATCCTATGAACTATTCTATGTATGATTTATTTTTTATGTCACTTGATATTATCAGTATCATGCTGTGCTGCAGTTGTACCTTTTAGTCTCGTTTTCACAAATTATTATTATTTAACGAGTTTGACCACGGCTTAATATTAATTAGAGAACCACTGAAAACCAGTGAGTCCTAGACAGCTGTTTCCTCCGTCCTAGTTTGGGAATCATCGACATTACGCACCCACCACCAGAGTTCGAACCCAGGACCTTCCGGTTACAAGGCGAGCTCATATACCATTCGGTCATGGGTAGCCTATTCAGTGACCAGTACATGAATTCTAACTTCTACCAATTCGTAATTTAGCACGACCACCTATCAATGTCATCGGTGGAACATCCATCCTCACACTTGACTGGATGGACCTCACTGGTCACGACTTCTTACTAGAACTCCACGAAACTCAGTCCTGTCGCAAGTCACTAGTGAGCATTAGAGATTGATCACCCACATTGTTCTATTGTGGCTTGATTGATGGTACCTCGTGCGTATCTAGCAAGGCAAGGTTTGGTTTTTCTAAACAGGTTCAAAAATACGGAAATTAACAAAAGTAGAAAATATTCCACCACGAAGAAAGAATTCACAGACTATAGTATGGATCTATATCGAACAGGTAGAACGAGCAATGAAGGAGGTTATGAATTCGGTGTGAATACATTTATAATAACTATGCGAAGAAAGAATTCTGCTTGAAATGTCATTCAGCTATTGGTACTATATAATCGTGTGTGATGCATCTGTTAATGTGAAGACAGTTACATATGTAGAACGACTCGGGAAGCCCACTTCCGCCTTCTGGAGCATTGTCCAATGTGGTTAGGTAAAGGAGTCGTAAAATCAATCAGAAGTTCCACACTGACAAACCCATTGGGTACGGAACACAAAATTGATAAAAATTCAGACTTCACAATTCTATACAAGGTGCCACCTCAACTCCCTAGTTTGCTACGTCTTCGGTTGCTAAGCCTATCTAACGCACTTGCCATAAAGCGAAATCTTCAATCCAATCTCTGTGTTCAGAAATTTTTGGTTCAATCTCTCTCCCTCCTGTGACCTTCACCCCCAAACTAAAATAGTTATCTTTCCCGGTAACGCCGGTTTACTGTAAATATTATCTTATTATATTTTTATTTTATGTTATTTGTAGTGCCATATGTATTATCAATATCATGCTGTGATGTAGTTGTGCATTTTAGTCTCGGTTTCACAACTTATCATTATTATTATATTATCTAATCGCTATGTGACATTAGTTATTTTCCCCTCTACCCGTACTAGTATATACACATTCTATCTATACACTCATCATTGCCCAGATTATATAAACACTCGAATCAATTTATCCTTATTATTATTATTACCTCTGTAACAACAAAAGACAAGGGTCAGGCAACAGATCGTTTATTAATGAAAATCAACACATATTTATAGATTTTAATGTGCATTATTGTAGATTATTGTTAGTAGAAAATACAGTCTTTTGATTGGTTGTTTCTCACAGAAAGTTAACCTTGCATCTCTTTGTGGCTGTGTCAGATCATCCATATGATAACTGTACCCGCCTACGCAAAGCCTTTGTTCTCATTTTCTCACCACCAATATTGGAGACATAAACACTGACGTCAATTACTGTCTACCAACTTCGGCTAGCAGCCAGCTCTCACCACACCTCTACTGTTATTCATTAATTCACATCCCTGAACTCTGATCCTATATTTGATAAACAACAATAATTCAAATGCCTATGACTAATATTCCACTTTGTACAAGCCTGATGAGAATTTACCTAAAGTACGTATTTGTTTAAATCGTGTTCAAAAATAAACTTATCTAATATGAAGTTACATAATCATTTCAGTTATCCCCTGCCTAATGACGCTTTAATAAGGAATACGGCCTTGGAATCAGTAAAATTCAAATAAAATCGCTTCAAAAGAAAATCGAATATGATAGAGTGTCCACAGCGTAGGACTATTGTCGTATAGTTTAACAGTATAATAGTATGGCGTGTGCTTCTGATAAACATTTTTTTCAGAATTAAAGTGTATAACTCTACCGAAATCAACCACGACTCACTATCAGTGGGAGGAATCAATGGAAATTGTTTATTCTGACTATTTGGGGAGTATCATTTCAACTAGAGACGGCACGGATGAGGATTTTAAGACCAGCTAGGATCATGAAAGCTAAATACTCTCTGAAATACTCTGAAATCAATATGAAGATCTACAGCAGTAAGCATAAAGAACAAAATCCAAATTTTTAACACTAATTTCAGGTTATGTCATTACTTCTGTTTACTTCAGAGACTTCTTGTGAGAGTTACCAAAAGCCTGTTGCAGACTTTCGTCAACAGCTTCCGCCTTCTCTCCATACTTAAGATTAAGTGAACGACCTACTGTGCAGTGGACGAGCCAACAACCATCAAATATACGAAACTGAGAAAACTACTGACTGACATCACAAGCGGGCCTTTGAGTAGAACCTGAATGGGGAACGATGAGATGGGCATAGGCTTGAGGCATTCTCTGCCTCGATATTGAAGGTCAGATAGCTGGTCGGAAAGGATAAGCATATAGAAACTCTGGTAATTTAGTGAATCAACGAACAACCTGTTACTCAACCAACAGATATGCAGAAAGAAATGCAGATGGATTGGGCATACATTGGAGAGATCGTTGAGCGAAATCACACACACCAGGTGGGCCCTCGAACGGATGACGACGAGTTGGTTATCAGAAGGTGGCATGGAGACAGCTAGGTAATAAAGAAATCAAAGCTTTTAAGGATACTGTGAGGCCAGTTTAAAGCAATGACAGAGAAGCAGATGCAATGAAGATGTTTGTGTGAGACATCGCACTCCACACGGAACACACGAATAAATAAATAATAACATAAATAAATAATAACATAACATAATATAAAGAATATGAATACTTCACGGGAATGCGAGTTTCATTGAACGATTTTTTTAATATTTTCGGTATTACTGTGTTTTTTCTATGGCCTTGTATACTACTGATAGACTGAAATGAGTAGCTGGATACAGGTGGCAGTTGTTAGCCAGATCAAAGGAAGCTGTAGTGACATCTCAGTTCGAAGTGTGTAAATTACAAATTACAATAGCAGGTAAAACTGAAAATTCAGTACACTCCACATGCTTTTATTTCATATTTAATTACATACTTCCAATTCAATACTCAAATATATGAACAGATAAAGGGAACACCAATGGGATCATCGTCCATATCAGGATTAATAGCTGAAGTCGTCATGCAAAATTTACAGTTAATAGCTCTACCTATAATTAAACCGAAAATCTGGATATATTACGTTGATGACACATCTGTAATAATTAAGAGAAATGATTTAGAATATACCCATAAATTAATAAACAACATATTTGAAGACATCAAATTCACAAGAGAAGAAGAATTAGATAACAAAATCCCATTCTTAAATGTCTTAATCAGGAGAACCAACACAGGAAATTTAGAAACACAAGTACAGAGAAAATCAACACACACAGATCAAATACTCAACTATACTAGCAATAATCCAGTTACTCACAAAAGAAACTGTGTGCAGACATTGTTTAAAAGAATTCAAACACACTGTAGCACTCCAGAGTTGAAAAGAATGGAAGAAAAATACCTACAAACGGTCTTCAAAAAGAATGGTTATCCACAAAATTTCATCAAAAAGTGTTTAAAATCGAATCACAACACCAACAAGGAACCATCATCAAAGAGCACAAGAAAATTCATCCTATCATACATAAAAAATATCTCTGAAATAACAGCTAGAATACTGAAACCGTTTGATATAGATATAGCACACAAGCCAGTCAAATCGCTTAATTCAGTATTATGCAAACCGAAAGATCCAACAAAAAAGGAGGTAAAATTAATACCATTTACAAAATAAACTGTATGAACTGTAACAAGCATTACATCGGCCAAAGTGGGCGTCCCCTTCGAATCAGAATCCAAGAACACAAATCAGCCGTGAAAAGACACGATATATATTCTTTCATATCAATGCATATAGACAATTATGGACATCAGTTTGGTTGGGATAATGTCGAAATCTTAGACAGAGGAAACACCAAAAGTGCAATTAGGGAATTCCTAGAAGCCTGGTATTCAAACGAATATGCAATTGACAAACACGTTAATATAGACCAAATATACCAACTAATAAAAAGTAAATCATGTGATGAACAGAAAGTTTAAAAATCCAAGTCAATAGAAAATGATCAATACATATGTAAAGATGGGAGACGCGATTCTATCACTCATGAAGAAATTTAAATTAGTTCAGTTTACGCTAAAAATTGCGCTGAAAGGGGATGTTGTCCAGAAGGACGATGAAAGCTCCGCAACTAAACCAACCAGCTCAGAGAACACTATTAATTGCAAATCATCCATCTGAGCTACAAATCTCTATTAGGAAGCGAGTTTCATTCATTCAAGATTTATTTACTTACGTGTTTTAAAAAATAAATAAATAAAATGATTGAAAATATATTTACAGTTTAGAAATATGATACTTTAATTTAAAAATATAAAAAACAGTAATCATATTCAACCTAAGAACAATGCTACGTTATATTAAGACATAAGTAGAAACATGATGGGTGAGTAAATAAAACAAAACAAAAACAGGCGTAGATGATATACAGTCGATTTAATTAGCTTCTTGTTTAACCTGTTTATTTACATGACAATTTATTCGTTGACATTTACCTGAATATAAACGGTGTACAATAGAATTGATACTTGAACTTCTTTCAAGGCCACTTATTAATGGTAATTGTTTATTTGAATTATTTAATCGATGAATTATTGATTCACCGCTTAATTCAATAGTTGATGAATTATGTTGAGAGGATATTTTTCTTGTTGTTGTTGGATGTGGTTCAAATCGATAGGATCGTTTACATCTACACTTGTCAGCCTGTGAAGCAATTGTTGGTTGTAGAATACGTTCAACTATTTCGCTTTCTTCTTTTTTATTATGAAAACAATGACTTGTAGGATAAGAAATATCATTTTTAGAATATGTATTCACTACACCTAAAGATGTTTTAGCCGACGGTTTTGCATCGCATATCATACAACCTATACGACGTTTTAATTGACTTGATGTAGTTGGCCTTGAAATTCTATTCAGTATATGATTATCAACTTGTAAAGTTTCCCATTGATCAATAAATTGTTTAGGCTTAAATTTACCCTTACTGTCGAATAGGTTAGATTGTAATCGCGGATTAGAAAATTGTTGATTACTTTCAGGTGGATGAGAATTAGGCGCAGCAGTATTAGGCGCTTTTCGTTTGGCTAACATTTTTAGCATTAGTCGACTTTCTTTTTGACGAGCATCAGATCCAGCTGTACGACTAGTGTGTAGTCGACGTACAATTCTATTGACTATTTCCCAATCAACAGGTTCTTCAAGATTATACTGATGATGATGATGATCGTGGCGGTAGATGTTTGAACAACGACTAGAACGTTGACTTTGGTTATGTTTTGCCCATTTTTCACTATCCTCTCTTAATAATAATGCACCACGTTCACATGCACATGGTGGGGATAATTTATTGACTTTACTGTTTCTATTCCATAACTCAGCGAGTTTATTTAATTTATCAGCAACCTTTTCATAATCGTTAACTGATCTGAGATCAACCAATCGACTTGAAGACATGGATGAAACCGACTGGGACTCTGTATCGATTGAATAATTTGTTGACACCTGGCTAGCATAATCTCCCAATGATACAGGGATATTTTCCCCATTGTAGTTTAAACTGCTTAGATCCAGTGTTTCAGTTTGATTTTGATAATTAGCATGCGTAGATATTTGAGCTTGTAAAAATGACATTGTTGGCCTACAGAGACGTTCAATTAGCGTTTTCTCTTCTGCACGACTGATACTTTTATATCCATAAAGTTTTACTGATGGTGATGAGAAATCCAACAGACGTGATTTAAACAAACTACTCGCCATGAAATTACCCAAATTAGGTTATGTTGGATAACAAAAGTGATTGTTACTTAAATTAATATGATAATTATCAATATCTACCAATCATCATTAGAAATCAATTCAAATAAGGTCAAGGTTATCACTAATTTGTTGTTAAGTTAGTCAACTTGTACTCCACTGAGTTTAGAATTTAATTAAAGTTCATCTTTTAACTAAATCCTGGATAATTAAGGTGACAGTCATATGCAAACACTAACATCCAGGACTTATGTCTCACACCTCACATGGTCCAGGGTTCGATCCCCCCTCCCACCGACTCACTACTTAACCTTGTTTAGCCGGTAATAAACTCAGTAAAATGGGAAGGTTGGCCGCAAGACTAGAAACCCCCCTACCCGGTAAAAACCAAACACTACTGCTTCTGGAACTTCAAAGCTCTAGCTTGAAGACCTATGCTCCACTGGAAACTTGAAGGAATAGAATAAAATCCATGACTTATAGTTCAGTTGACATTTCACAAATTGTTGGGATCGAAATTTTAGACTATAGGTGGCAGTTTGATTGGACATTATTTCATTCTGTAGAAACTGTTGTTGTTGTTCTTCTACTTCTTATTGTTTCCTTTAGTTCCTAGAGGAACATAGGGCTTCAACCGTGCGTCTCCACTGCGTTCGGTTCTCTGCTGGAGTCTTCACCTGGCTCCAAGTCTGCCCATACATTTTCATCTCCTCTTCACATGACCTCCTCCAAGTCACCCTTGCACTGACGACCAAATTGCCGCTTCCCTTTCGGGTTCCACTCAAGGGCTTGATGGTTTCCTCAGAGTATGGCCAATCCGTCTCCATTTCTTCCTGCATATTTGTTCTTGCTTTAGTCAAATTCATAAAGGGAATAAATGTATGAAGACACACTTTGGGGAGACGAAATTAGTTAGGTGGTTTATCTTTATTTCCCGAAAGTAAAAATGGAATGGATGTGAAGAGACGGTGGACTGCCACTATACTGAATGCTCCTTTTACTGCATTCTTTAGGTATTGTGCTATTCATTATTTCATTAATACTAACACCTATTGGTGATATCAGATGGTTGGAGGTAATCGGCAGGAAGCTATCCACCTAGGTTTCGTGCTAGCTGGTTCTTACCAGTCGGCAAAGCGTATGTGTACAGTGTTGAAGTAATTCATGTTCTCTCTGATATTCGAACCCGCGTCACCCGCTGCTGCAGTCAGAGACGTTACCACTGAGCTATTAGCGTTCGCATTTGACCTCCTGTGGGTCTGTATTGGTAACTTGATAGGAGACTGGTTAGTGTAATGTGTCTAGTCCTATCTTTGGTGCAGACTGAATTCTATTAGACAAGTTTGCAATGTCGCCACCATGCCACCACTAGGTGGCTCACCGTCACGGTGCACTTTGAATTGTTGATATCAGATAGTGCAAAGTGGTGGCAAACCCCATAGAATAGTGGGTACATTGAAAATTTGACTGATGGAATTCAGTCAGCACCAAACACAAAAGACTAGACACATTATACTAACCAGTCTCCAATTAGATTACCGGCACATACCCACAGGTCAGACGCGAACGCGAATAGCTCAGTGGTAACGCCCCTGACCGAAGAACCGGGTGACGCGGGTCCGAATATCAGAAGGGACGTGAGTTCCTTCAAGATTGCAGATACGCCTTGCTGACTGTTGAGTGCCAACTAGCACGAAACCTAGGTGTCCAAGGTTTCGTGTTGATTGACCCCAACCATATGATATTAACAATAGGTGGTAGTATTAATGATTTAATGAATAGCACAATACCTAAAGAATGCAGTAAAAGGAGCATTCAGTATAGTGGCAGTCCACCGTCTTTTCACATCCATTCCATTTTTACTTTCGGGAAATAAAGATAAACCACCTAACTAATTTCATCTTCCCTAAGTGTGTCTTCGTATATTTATTCCCCTTTATGAATTTGAATAAAGCAAGAACAACAGTTTGTACAGAATAAAATGGTACTATCATATATTCTGTTGGCTTCTCATCAGCTGTATATCTCCTAAAGAAATAATCAAATTCATGTACAGAATAATTTTAATATACTTGCAAATTTCAAATTGTGTCATTTAATGACAGAAGGATCCAAACTTGACAAACAGTACTGATAAAATTACATTTACGTAGTTTTTACCTAGAGAGTTCAAGTTTAAACAAAAATAAATCTTCACATACAGTATTGAAGAACAACGGTTACCCTCAGGGGTTGATTAACAGTACGAAAAACGCCTGTCTTCATTCAATTCGATTTTAAAGGTGAAAATATTGCTGTAATAGTCAGCAGAAAATTCAGTAAGTTACTAGCCACAGCCTATACTGCAGCTAACTTGGTTCCCGTTCATGGGACAACAAGCTCTTTGGCACAATCAAAAGTCAACATATATCCTTCTCATGTTAGTAGCTTCAACTCTGCATACAAATTTACATGTATCTGTGATAGGAGTTACACTAGGAGAACAGAAAGAAGGGCACACATATGCTTTCGATTTTCTAGACATGTAACAAAAAGCCTATATTTCAACGTAATAATAAATCCTCGACACGGGTTATGAGGTGGATATATCGAAATGCTTTGAAGTCGGATTCCTTCTCTAATGTGTACTAAATTGTTGGAAGACAGCTATTGAGGAAATCCAAGATGTTAATCAAATTCTCCTCATTGTTGGAGATAACGGAGGTATCGTCCACGTATCTCTTGTAAAACCCAAATTTATCAATCATTTTCTTTAGATAGGTGTTTTCTACTTTTGACATGAAAAATTCTGTGAGTAATAGGGCAATTGGTGAACCCATAACTATACCATCTTTTTATCTAAATATAATTCTCTTTTGAAAGAGAAGTGGACATTTATGGTGCATCTCAATAGGAGTTTCTTCAAATATAAAGTGGTTTGATTGGAAACATTGACGTTTTCAATGGAATTGACAAAATCGAAGGAATTTCGGAGTGAGTGGCATGAAATTTGCCTTCTGACTGGTTCTAGTAGGTCTACTCGCCACTGGGCAGTGAGATGAAAAGGTGAATTGGTCATATCGAGAATGGGTCAAAGAGGTGTGTTTTTCTTGTGAACTTTCGGTATTCCATAAAGTCGGGGTATATTTGAGTCAGATGACCTCAGCGACTCGGAGGTTTCAGCGCCGATGAATGATGATTCAGTTTTTAGTTTTCGGGGAATCTCTGTTAGTTTTTGTTCAATTTGCTCCGTCATGTTCTTTTCATTGGTCGGTTTCGTGAATTTGGACTCGTCGGATGGGATGGTCAGCATTTTACTTATGTAGTCTTCACGATTCATGACTACGATTCCCCCACCTTTAGCAGGGCGTTTCAGAATGATCTCTTTATTGTTTATTCATTCCTTCAGCTCTTTATAGTGCTTTTTAGTTTGACATTTATAAACTTATGGCAGCTATCAAGAAGTGACGATTTGAATTGTTCCAGGTTCTCTTCAGATGTTGGTTGCAGATCATATGTTTGGTTTATCAGGTTTTCGAACTGAACCTGGGATTGCAGCTTTTGGATACTCGATGATTTCGTGAAGAATTTTGGACTGAGGGATAGTACTTCTAGTTGAAGTATTGACAATTTAATGTTTGAGAGATTCAATGCGTATTTTTCTGGATTGTTTGGGAATGGACGTTCAGAATTACTCATTGATTTAAGGCTTTGAATTACATTTGAATCGATCTTATCACATTGATTCTGTGTGACTTCTTGAACATACTCTTCGAAGGACTGTCGTAGTTCTTGATCTAAATCATAGACTGCATGAACTCACAAGTCGACGTTTTGCTCTTGTTCAACGACACATGATTGGATGGAGTCAATGTTGTTTAGTGTATGTCGCCTGAGTGTTCTGGTATTCGGATGGATACGACTGAGTTCGAATGATTTCCAGTACATCTTTGGATATTCATATCTATCTAAAAATTCTCTTAAGAACTGTATCTCTACCTTCGCTACTGCAAGCTTGACAGAGTAACGCAGGAAACTATCCATCCCCTTAACCGTCACTGGGTCCTTGCAACATCTGAACAACTTAGAAATTCCCATTGAGTCATACAAAAGAAAAGGCGTTCGGCGAAGAGAAGCTGATGAGAAGCCAACGAAATAAATGATGGTACCATGGTATTCTGTAAAAACTACTGTTCTTGTTTTGTTCAAAATAACATCAGATTGCGAACATTTGAAGTCTATAACTATATAAACACCTTACATAAGAGTTTTATTTCATGAATGGAAGAATGTTAATAATGTTTCACTATTGCATTCGTTCTGTAATGTTATTCTGGAATAAAACGTGTCATCTGTGCGAATCTATCCATTTATGATCACGGAAGGATAAACTAATCCGACTGACAGATCGATAATCAGTTTAGATTTCATCATATCAGACAAACATGGAGCAGAAAGAACACGGAAGATATAACCAATAATGCAATATAGCAGAATGTCACAAAGTCAACTCATCACATAAACAATATCACTGGGTCAAGAAACATGAGAAGAGAGGACGGAGCATTGGAAGGGAGATGCTAATATCTCAAACAATACTCAGAACAGTTGAGGACGATGCTAAATGCATATATTTTAAATGACTATGACAAATACACGGATGAGTTGACAGACAGTGCGAGTGCAGATTACAGAAAGAGTACAAAACACAAAAGACTCTTTAAAAAATATGATGGGAAACAGCAGTTTAGAGTTATTCTAAGCCTATAAGCTAATATCCTTGATTGGTCATTTTAAGAAGGAACCAGTGTCATGTGTCAGTTAAGTTAGCAATGAGGTTGGTCACCATGCTCACCATCGTGGTGCACTGTGTACTGATGTTGCATAGTTGGAGGCAAATGATCAATTAATGTATCCATTACATTCCTACAAGTAGTCGGTTGTGAGTCTGAATAGCTTAGTGATAACGCCTTTGACTGCAACAATGGTTAGTAATGGGTTCAAATCTCAGAGAGCACATGCAT